CTTTGGTACACCATTTACATTAAATCGGACGAAAATATATATGGGAGCTATGTCGAAATCTAAACCGATTTTCCCAAAACTTACCACTCATCATTCTAGACTCAATTCAGTACGCTATGCCAAATTGAAAGATATATAGGGACTTTGGTCCACCATTTACATTATATCGGTCGAACATATATATGAGAGCTATATCTAAATCTGAACCGATTTTCATGAAACTTTGCACACCTCATTCTAGACTTAATTCAGTGCGCTATGCCAAATTTCGTGCAAATCGGAACATATATAGGGACTTTGATCGAACATTTACATTAAATCGGTCGAACATATATATGGGAGCTATATCTAAACCTGATCCGATTTTCAAGAAATTTTACACACATCATTCTAGACCTAATTCATTACGCTATGTCAAATTTCGGAAGATATGAAGGGACTTTGATAAATCATTTACATTAAATCGGACGAAAATTTATATGGGAGCTATATCTAAATCTGAACCGATTTTCAAGAAATTTTACACACATCATTGTAGACTCAATTCAGTGCGCTATGCCAAATTTAGTGCAAATCGGAACAAATATAGGGACTTTGGTCGAACACTTGCATTAAATCGGTCGAACATATATATGGGAGCTATATCTTAATCTGAACCGATTTTCAAGAAATTTTACACACATTATTCTGGACTCAATGCAGTACGCTATGCCAAATTTCGTGCAAATCGGAACATATATAGGGACTTTGGTTCACCATTTACATTAAATCGGTCGAAAATATATATGAGCTATATCTAAATCTCAACCGAAATTTTACACACATTATTCTAGACTCAATTCAGTACGCTATGCCAAATTTCGTGCAAATCGGAAGATATAATGGGTCTTTGTTTGGTAAACCGTTTACATTAAATCGGACGAAAATATAAATGGGAGCTGTATGTAAATCTGAACCGATTTTTCCCAATTTCAATAGGTTTCGTCCTTGGGCCAAACAAATGAACTGTGCCAAACTTCATCCAATTCGGATTATAAATTCGACCTGTATTTTGTTTACAATTTAACATGGACGGACATGCATAAATCGACTTAGAAAGTGATTCTATGCATATTTTCAAAAGGAACCATGTGTCTATCTCGTTTTCTTTTGCCTGTTACAAACATATGCACAAAGACATAATACCCTGTACCACAGTGTGGTGAAGGATATAAATACGTATTTAAAAATATGGTCACAAGGGTTTGTTTTTAAATTAATTTCGTCAATTTTCGCCTGTGAAGGCCTTTTTAAAAAGTTCACAAAAATATTTCCCTCAGAGACATTCCCTCCCTCTTCATCATCATCAAAATTAGTATACTTTACTAATACGAATTTTTATAAGCCACCATTCATATGAGACATAAGAAATATTTTCAATAAAAATAAAAAATACAATCAATATTAAACTTCTATAAATAGCAAACATTTTTATTTGATTTTAATCTCGGTAATAAAATAATTTCCATGCGTAAAACATTTAAAGATTCAGCTAACCCTATTTTTCATAATTCTTTCTCCCACTACCAAATTCTCCCACTTCTTCTTTTTCAGAAAGTCATATCAATTACAGTTATTAAAATGTACATAAAGAAACAAATCTCACATAAAATAAATCTAACTAACAATTTAAGGCACAGACACACACTCGAACACAAAATGAGCTTTGTCATTCGAATTTCTAATGCACTGAAGAGACTGACAGCCGGCAGGCGGGCGAGCGATTCAGACAGACAAATGTTGCTTTCATTAATCGAAATGTTAATACTCGCTGAACTTTTTTTGTAAGAATAAATGAATGGCGGACGCTTTTCACTTGGTAAATATGGCCTTTAGTGGGCCACGCGTTACGATTCACTTGAAATTGTCTAATGGTGTTTGACACACTCGTACAGACACACACACACACAAGCACACACTCAGATGAGCTTGCATATATTGTATTGAGTATATCATAAACAATGCTATAAAGAAGCAATCAACAACTGGCTATGGCTATCCGGCAAATATAAAGTGCAACATGTAAGGGAAGGGGGGAGGGTGATGGTGAGGCAGCTAAGTTAAAGCAAATAAATAGCCATAAATTTAAATTAAAATTGAAATGGTATTGGAATGGAATGGGAAAACCCCCCTTCGGCAATTCAATGTGCTCTTTAGGGGACGAGAGAGGCAAAGTGGTTTCAATAGAACTGCATTGTTGTAATGCTTTTTTCGATGAAACAGTTAAGTAATGAGTGACAGGCAATTAGATTAAGATTTAAGTCAAATTTACGAAGTCAGAAACGATTGGGGATTTTTTCTGGAAAGATGAAATAGAATTGGGTAGAAAAAATTCTTTAAAATCTAACCTTCTAGTGGACTCTACAAATATACTTTAAAACCAGTAAGGGAAGTAGTAAAGTCAGATGGGGCCGACTATATGATACCCTTCACCACTTTGGTTGAATCCTAAAAGACGTCGTTCTTTTAAAGACCATTAACATGACATTTCATCCATAAACATGTCATTCTGCAACCTATACCAAATTTTTCAGTTGATCAGATGTATAGTTGCTTCTTACAATGGAACAAAATTATGTAAATCAATAAAAGCTATATCGAAATCTAAACCGTTTCATCGAAACTTGTCACAGGTTAGGTTATACTAATCTCAGTATGTTTTGTGCATATCGGCCACATTTTGAGCTCTTGGTGCCTAATTTACTTAAAATCGGAAGAAAATATATATGGGAGCTCTATTCAAATCTGCACCGATTTCAACAAAACTTTCCACACGCTAGGTTATACTAATTCCTGTACGTTGTGCAAAATTTTGTACCAAACGGCCTAACTAAGGGTCTTTGGTGCACCTTCTATTTTATTGGTTGTACAAAATTTTCTATCAATTTTGAGTAAAATCGGACGAAAATATATATATAGAAGCTATATCTAAATCTGAACCGATTTCAACGAGACTTGCCAGAGGTTAATTTATATTAACTACAGTTCATTGTACAAAATTGTGTGGCAATCGGACAAAATTTGGGTCTTTAGTGCACAATTTACATAAAATCTAAAGAAAATATATATAGGAGCTATGTCTAAATCTGAACCGAAACTTAGCACACATCACTCTAGTCTAGAGTTTGGTGCAGATTTTATATCTAACTTCTAGGTTATACTAACTTCAGTACACTATGCCAAATTTTGTGCAAATCGAAAAATATTTAGGGACTTTGGTACACTATCTACATTAAATCGGATGAAAATATATATGGGAGCATATCTATATCTGAACCGATTTACACGAAACTTAACACACATCATTGGTGGACTTTGGTGCACCATTTACATTAAATCGGACGAAAATATATATGGGAGCTATATCTAAATCTAGACCGACTTTCAGGAATCTTAACACACACCATTCTAGATCTAATTCTGTGCGCTATGCCAAATTTCGTGCAAATCGAATAGGGACACCATTTATCTAAAATCGGGCGAAGCTATATATGGGAGCTGTATCTAAATCCTAACCGATTTTCAGAAAACTTCACACACACCATTCTAGATCTAATTCGGTGCGCTGTGCCAAATTTCGTTCAAATCGAAAGATATATAGGGACTTTGGGGCACTATTTACATTAAATCGGACGAAAATATACATGGGAGCTATATCTAAATCTAAACCGATTTTCAGGAAACTTTACGTACGTCATTCTAGGATTACTGCAGTAAGCTATGCCAAATTTCGTGCAAATCGATATATATATATATATATGTGTGCTTTGGTGCACCATTTACCTAAAATTGGACAAAATTATATATGGGAGCTATATCTAAACTTGAACCTATTTTTTCCAATTTCAATAGTGTTCGTCCTTGTGCTATATAAATGATAAATGCGACCTGTAATTGGTTTACAATTGAACATCAACAGACGGACGGACATGCATGAATCGACTCAGAAAGTGATTATATGCATATTCTCAAAAGGAACCATGGGCCTATGAAAGCCTCCCCACTTCAGCTCGTCTATGAAAGACTCCCTGCTTCAGCTCGTCTATGAAAGACTCCCTGCTTCAGCTCGTCTATGAAAGACTCCCTGCTTCAGCTCGTCTATGAAAGACTCCCTGCTTCAGCTCGTCTATGAAAGACTCCCTGCTTCAGCTCGTCTATGAAAGACTCCCTGCTTCAGCTCGTCTATGAAAGACTCCCTGCTTCAGCTCGTCTATGAAAGACTCCCTGCTTCAGCTCGTCTATGAAAGACTCCCTGCTTCAGCTCGTCTATGAAAGACTCCCTGCTTCAGCTCGTCTATGAAAGACTCCCTGCTTCAGCTCGTCTATGAAAGACTCACTGCTTCAGCTCGTCTATGAAAGACTCCCTGATTCAGCTCGTCTATGAAAGACTCCCTGCTTCAGCTCGTCTATGAAAGACTCCCTGCTTCAGCTCGTCTATGAAAGACTCCCTGCTTCAGCTCGTCTATGAAAGACTCCCTGCTTCAGCTCGTCTATGAAAGACTCCCTGCTTCAGCTCGTCTTTGAAAGACTCCCTGCTTCAGCTAGTCTATGAAATACTCCCTGCTTCAGTTCGTCTATGAAAGACTCCCTGCTTCAGCTCGTCTATGAAAGACTCACTTCAGCTCGTCTATGAAAGACTCCCTGCTTCAGCTCGTCTATGAAAGACTCACTTCAGCTCGTCTATGAAAGACTCCCTTTAGTTCGTCTATGAAAGACTCCCTTCAGCTCGTCTTTGAAAGACTCACTTCAGCTCCTCTATGGAAGACACTCTGCTTCAGCTTGTCTATAAAAACTACCCTTTGCTTTTCTATAAAGACTCCCTTCATCACTTCTATAATACCTAAAGACTCTTCTGCTCGTGTATAAAGACTATCTTCGACTTGTCCAGGTCAAATATTAACGATGATATAACCTCATTTCCTTTTAAATATTTTTAATTTTTCATTTTTTTTTTAACTTACCCGACAACATGGGAGCCAATTGCATTGCTCCATTGCCAACCGGATCATGTTTGTCATCATTTTTCATGGGTCCACTGCGGCCGGAAACACAGCTGATGGGTTTTTTGGTTTTCCACAGCTTCATTTTGAAATGATTTCACTTTTGTATTCCCTTACTAAATATTCCAATTTGTTTGTTTTTGAAATGCCAATTTTTGGGTTTTTTCTTCAACACTTTCAAAAAAATATTTCAAATTTTCAAAATTCCTTCAATTTTTTATAAACACAACATCATTTTGGCTTAGGCACTTCTTCTTCTAACTTTTTTTGTTTACTTTGTTTTGAACTTATTTATTTAATAAAATATTTGGAAACTTTGTGTTGTTGTGGTTGTTGTTTTTATTTTAGCCAAAACTCAAAATTGTTTACATTATTTCCAATACAAATACGAAAATTTATCGGTTATGCTATGCGGGAAATAGTGGAGAGAACTTATTTTTGATTTGTATTTTTGTTATTTCTTTATTTTTTGGTTAAGTTTGCTATTTTGTTTTTGTGTTGTTATTGTTGCTGTTGTTTGTATGTTCTTCTTGTTCTTCTTTTACAAAACTGCATTTATTTTTAAATATTTTTTCTTCTCATTTTTTGGTTGTTTGGCTATCTTTGTCATGCTGTGGTGCAAGAATATTCTTCTGTCAGACAACGCTGCTATTTTTTATTTTATAGGTTATACCGTAAAGGGGGATAAATTCCCCCCTTTTCTTTTTTGTATGAAAATCACCAGACAATTCAAATGAACTCAGCGGCGACGACGACGACACAAAACACACTTACGACGTCACTCATTTATATAGAAGACGAGGATGAAGAAGACAAAAAAATAGAAAACTTTGGCACACGTTTTTCGTAATTTTGGCCACCGTTACACTCAGCCCACAAATAAAAAAAAAACTTTTCTCGATACGAAAAGTGAATCAACCATAAAAACTTGAAAATGTTGAAAATTGCGTAGACCGCCGACAAACGAATGAACGAACGAATGACTTGGGTCAGCGTATCCAATATTGGGTATTCATTAGCGTTTTGGTTTTTGTGTTATTTTTTCTGTACCGTGATGTTCACTCAATGTAATTTTTCTTTTTGGTATCACATGAAAAGGAAACCGTTTTCACTTTCAATTTTCAAAAGACCCGAGCGACGAGCTATAATTTATTTCGATTTCAAGCATAAATTTATTTCTTCCGTTACGTTGTTGTTTTTGTCGGTTTTGTTTTTTTTCACAAAATTTTCTTTGAACTCTGTTACACGCTCGATTAGTTCTTATAACGTCACATAATTTTCACAATTTTTTTTCTATTCAATATATTTTCAGGCCCATCATTGCCTTGTTTCCAATTAGAATTTTTCTTCTTCGTTTTCGGTTTTTCTTCACAACAAAAATATACCTTCGACGACCGTCTTTACACGGCCACACGATATTTTATTCTATGGCCACTGATCCCCAAATGAGAACAAGCTGCCAGCTAGTCAGCCACACTCACTCACTGATCTATAACAGCACAAACACACACAAATATTCATAGTTTTCCCCCAAAAAAGGAAGACTTGTAAAGCACTCATACACTTATCGCCTCAATGGCAGGCAGGGCTTCTCACAAAACACTTTTCTTCCTCTTCGGCAAATTGTAAACAAAATAACAACAAACACAACAGTAGATCTCCTCAACAACTGTTGCTTCTTCTTCTTGCTCTCACTTTCATGCTCATTTCCGTTATTCTCCACGGCAATACGAATTTATTCTCGTTGTTGCGAGAGTACTATTTTGTGGAGCAATATATTTTCCCGTTATTCCAACAGTAAACGTTGTTGCTTCATACGCGGCTTTTCGGTGACTAACAGAGACGATTTGTCATCGGCATTGTATAGGACTCTATGTCGTCTGCTCTGTTGGCATGGCTACAGAGAGTGACGTTAGCGTCGCTGCGGCGTAATGTATTGGCGCCGGGGTTTCCTTTTCATTGGGTTTTGTTTGTGTGTGCTTTGTTGTCCGTTGATAAACGAATGAGGGATTGTGTGTGTAAGTTGTTTTTGTTTTGCTAGGCATGAAACATGTTGATGGAAATAAACATGGCTGAGGGGTTGTGTCTCGGCTAAATAAATGTTGCGTACACATACTTCAATGTTGCATTGAATTAAGTAACAGGTGGAAATATCAGTAAGCCGATTTTGAAGACGAGGATTTTTTAAAGAATATTTTTAAGCAAAAATATAGAGAGTGGATTTTTTAAAGAATATTTTTAAGCAAAAATATAGAGCGTGGAATTTTTAATGAGCATATATGAGGAAAAAATGTATGGGGTTAATTTTTAAAGAATAGTTTTTAAGCAAAAATATATGGTATGTTTTTAAGATATATATAAGGCTTAGATTTTATAAAAATATTTTTTAAGAAATATATAAGGCTTGGATTATTTAAAAATATTTTTTAAGAAATATATAAGGCCTGCATTTTTAAAAACATTTTTATAAGCAAAAAAATAAAATTTGAATAAAATACTTGCCCACCTCACCTATAGGAAATTCGAAATGTAAATTGCCAAAACTCTCCATCTACATCTTCGAGATTTAAACACAATAATAAAATTAAAACAAAAATAAATATGAGGAAACCATTACCTGTAATATCGGTCAAATAATTTTATTTTGGATATTTGCCATTAAAATGGAAATTGTCATTACTGCACTGTGACAACTTCATTTGCCACATTTTGGCAAAGACTCCATGAAATTTGAATTAGAAATGTTTATGTTTTCTTGAAGACACATTTATACATACACAGCTACTAGATTTCTTGTGTTTTTTATCTTTATGGTAATTTGATTTCCTCTAAAAATATCAAATTTTATGCGGTCATGCGTTGATGATGTCTATAATAAATATTAAATAGTCGTGCACATCCCATACCATGCCCATTGAAGTGTCAAATAAATATGTCAGCATAATGAAAAACCAACAGTGAGGAGTGATTCGAGCAAGGCAAGTGCTTGGGATTTTTTTTTCTATCCGTGTGTTGAACATAAATAATTTTGAATTGAGAATTTACCTGTAGAATAATGATCTGGTCCATAATATAGCCATAATTGGATGTTTAATAAAGTATAGAAATAAATTTTGGAGGAGAATAACTAAAAATGGAGTTGCATCAAATTAAGAAGTTTGGCAAATTTAAATTTTTATTTCATTTTCTACCAAATAGAATTTAGATATGGAAGTGAAGATTTCATTAAATAACGAAATGTTAATCCGTAATCTTAGTCAACGGATGACATATTCACACTGAGGGAATGTATATATGTGGTATCGGTTTTTTCCCCTGTGTACCACAAAAATGGGGTGACAAATATTTCCATGCGCAGCACTTTAAATTTAAATGAAATGAAGTGACAAAAGTTCAAAGAAAATACCGAAGCTGTACACATTTGTTGACTGTTTGGATAACATAGATACTCTATCACTGAAATAAATTTCAATATCCAAATACATAAATGTCAATCGTTAAATTGTTTCAATACTATAAAAATTGAATACTAAAAACAAATGAGTGTTAAATGTTTGTCGATTTGGGGGTAGTGATATGTACAAGAATACGTTTGATACGGAATGCAGTGTATTTTAGACGTCAGTACCTTGACCATTTTTAGTTCCGTTCCAGATCCTGAATAAATCTACAAATTTAAAAGTTTTGCAACCTTTTACCCGAAACCCATTCATGTATCCAAAAAAACTATTAAAATTTTGGAACAACTCTAGTTTAGGAAAAACGCACAGATTTTTTCTGATTTTTTTTCAGAGGTAGGTATTTTTACCCTATATTTTTTTCTTGGGGGACGTACTCGGTTACCTGGTTATTAAACCCGGAAGTGAGGGTACCCGTACTGGGTTATACCCGGTTAATATAAAATGGGTATCATTTTAAAGCTTATAAAAATACCTTTCCATTGAGTTCTGATGTGTGTTACCTCAAATCTTTGAAGATACAGTCAAAAAACTGGGTTTTGGACCCCGATTTTTTTGAAAAACCAACATCGGCTACGCGACATAATCTCTTGTTAAATATAATAGTTTTTTTTTTTTGGATGACCGGCCTTCGGCCGGGGATTTAAAATTTTCTCCTATGGACAGATACCAAAACCAGCTACGCGACAGAAACTCCTTTTAAATAGAATATTTTTTGTGTAGCCGGTCTTCGGTCGAGGCTTTAAAACTTTCTCCTATGGACATATACCCACATCGGCTACGCGACAGAATCTCCTGTTATATAGAGTAGTTGTTTGGGAGGCCGGCCTTCGGCCGAGGATTTAAAACTTTCTCCTATGGACAGATACCAACATCGGCTACGTGACAGAATCTTCTTTTAAATAGAATAGTGTTTTGGGTGGGTAAAATATTAGCGTGGATTTTTATACCCTATACAACTATGTTGTCAGGGTGTTATAGCTTTGTGCATGTTATATAGAATAGTTCTTTTGGGAGGCCGGCCTTCGGTCGAGGATTTGAAACATTCTCCTATGGACAGATACCAACACCGGCTACGTGACAGAATCTTCTTCTAAATAGAATAGTGTTTTGGGTGGGTTAAATATTAGCGTGGATTTTTATACCCTATACAACTATGTTGTCAGGGTGTTACAGCTGTGTGCAGCCCCAAGAGTTTGTAACGCCGCGAAATATTGGTCCTAGACCCACCGATCATCATATCTCGACTAGCTAAGTCGATCTAGACATTAGTGTCTGTCCGTCTTCCATTATATTTTGTAAACAGGATACAGGCCACAATTATGGACCAATCTTCACGAAATTTTGTATGTAGGATGGGTTCTGGCGAATGAGGACCCCTATTATTTCTGGTAAAGATCGGTTAATATTTAGGCGGTGAAATGGACTAAATACTAATTTTTTGTCGATTTTTCTGGTCGTTCCAGAGGCCGCAATTATGATCCGAACATCGTGAAATTTTACATGGAAAAGGGGATCGGGCCAAAGAATAAGCATGTCGATCTTTAGGTCAATATTTAGCAGGTCAAATGGACCCTGACTTTTGTGGAGTGGCTGACCTTTCAATTGATACCAATTATATTGTCGTATGTT